ATTGTTTAAAATTAAATATATCAAATAAATATACATATATATATATTTATTTATTGTATTTATAATGATAATTTTTTATATTATTATATATAATATACATAAAAATATTGTTAAACATTGTTTAAAATTATATATATCAAATAAATATAAATTATATATTGCATTTACAATGGTATTTTTTTTAATGTTATTGTATATAATATTATTTTTAAGTGCATATTAGTTTATTTATTGTTGTCATCAAGCCGTATTCATTATAGTATCTTGATTTAATATATAATGTACAGATACTTCAAAATTGACAACGTATCCATATCATGTTCGTGCTAGATAATGATATGGCTGTCTTACCTTTTTTTTATTGTTTTTTTTTAGAGAAGGCTATCTTACGTTTAAACTTTTTAATGTGCATTTTTTTTAATAATAAAGAAATTATTATCATAACTTGAATATAATATTTTTATTTGGATAACACTATGTTCGAGTTAGTGGGTTAGGGACATCCGTGGAAAAAACAATGTAACATTTTTATTTGAATTTGATTACAATTATAGTTTTATACCATCTAGCTAGTAAATCTTTCAAGAAATTCAAGAACAAGAATAATACCGTAATGACAACAAATAATATAAATACAACATTTTCTTTCACAAGATATAAAGCTATAACAAGAATAATATTTTTTATGTACCAAAAAAAAAAAAAAAAAACAAGAAAAGTATAAATCACATGTACTGAATTGTAATACATGTATATGTGTAACACTTATTTGTCACTGCTATTTCTTTTTACGTTCAGAACTTTTTCTTCAATAAATTATCCAATTTATGTTCCTAAAGTTTAATAAAACTTGTAAAAGGAAATGAATCCATCTCTGGTCACAAATCAATTCATTGGTTAAGATATCTAACATTTTCTTCAATGACTTATCCAATATAGCTCCATATCCTATTTCTTCGTGTGTTCAATTCAACTCAAGATCTCTCAGTTACCTAATCTCCATTGGTTAATATATCTCATTTTACTTATTAATATGCTTGTTTGGTGGTTTCGATTAATCATGTTCTTTTCTTTCTGCACATGATTTTTGCAGAATAGGTACAGAGCACGAGAAGTTTGGTTTTGAGTTTAAAACTTTACGTCCGATTACATACAAACAAGTATCAGCTTTACTTAATGCCATTGCTGTGAGATTTGATTGGGATAAAATAATGGAAGGTGACAACATCATAGGACTCAAACAAGTAACTCTTTCATCATTTGATATTCAATTTATTTTTCTAAATACTTATTTGAAATAATTCTATTTGAAATCTGTCCGTGAGACCCTCATGAATTATGAACTAGACTAAAGGGAATGTGTGACATTTATATGTGAAAAATTCTACCGCAGAACAAGCAAAATATATCATTAGAACCCGGTGGTCAATTAGAGCTCAGTGGTGCACCTTTGAAAACATTGTATCAAACTTGTGATGAGATTAATTCACATCTCTATCAGGTGAGTATGTGCAATTTCTGGCATAACAAGAATTCTGAGATAGTTTAATATTTAATTTTATTGTTAAAACGTGCAATATGTTACTTATTGTTACCATACCATGGACTGCAACATCATCTTCATTTTGAAGACAATTTTGGCTACGAGACTAGAACAACACCACAATTTAATTATGAACATTCCATGTGACTGATTAATTATGCCTTGTTTGATAGGCTAAAACTGTTGCGGAGGAAATGGGAATTGGATTTTTGGGATTAGGTTTTCAGCCTAAATGGGGATTGAAAGACGTACCAGGAGGGCCTAAGGTAATATTTACGGACACCAAACTTTTGAATTAAGAGTGGGATGCTAATACATATACTTCTTCCAGGCACGGTATAATATTATGCAAAAATACTTCCATGAAATTGGTTCACCTGGAACTGAATCATTGTTCATGACATGCTCAGTTCAGGTGAGAAATTTTGTACTTCAATTACTAGGTATAACCAAGAAGTTGATTTTGTAAGCTAAATCATTTAGATTTATCTGTTTTCTCAGAGTTCAGCACAGTAAATTTTCCCATTGAAATATTTATAGTATGTCTAAAGTAACAAATGGAAATTAACTATGGGTTTAGGTCAATCTGGACTTTAGTTCTGAAGCAGACATGATCAGGAAAATGCGTGCTAGTCTTGCTTTACAGCCTGTAAGAAATTCTGGTGATTCGATGTAATTTGGAACTGTATCATTATTAAAATTTTCAGATTCATTCATATTGTATATAACTTCTATAACAACTACATTAAACCAGTTAGCAACAGCCTTATTCGCTAATTCACCTTTCAAGGAAGGGGTTCCAAATGGTTACCTCACCTTACGAAGGTCTGTAACTGTTTTGAATTATTGTTCACTTAAACACCTCAAATGTTTGTTTTCTATACTGTATTTAACTCTTTTGACCTGTCTTAAATAGCCTTAAGATGGGTCAGATTGACAAACATCGCAGTGGCATACTCCCCTTTGTTTTTTATGACAATTTTGGGTATGTTTACTCATCTCCAATTTTACTTTTTAATTTTACGGCACTTCTAATTTTATCAAGTCATCTGTTACTATTATAGGTTTGAGCAATATGTTGATTATGCTCTTGATGTGCCAATGGTGTTTGTTTATCGGAAAAACAAGTACATAGACTGTGGTGGCATGTCATTCCGGGTTATTTTCTTTTCTTATCTTCAAATATCTCATTATCCTTCAATTGCATATTATTTATTTTCTAATGTTTTGTGCAGTATATTTGCACTTAAGTTGATTTTTTGTTGTTATGCAGGACTTCATGGCAGGTAAACTACCTGCCATTTCAGGTCAGATGCCAACACTTGCTGATTGGGAAAATCATTTAACAACCATATTTTCTGAGGTTACTATGCAACACTAACCATGTTAAGGATTTTGAATTTCTGTAAATGTTGAACACTAAGTTGGCCTACTGTTAAATTTTGTGCAGGTCAGGCTAAAAAGATACATGGAAATGAGGGGTGCTGATGGTGGCCCTTTGGATATGTTATGTGCTCTGCCGGCTTTTTGGGTAATTGATTTGTCTATGCATGTCACAAGTTAATAATCTTATCGTTTCACAAATTAGTGGGAACTGTCAACCAGTTCAAATAATGGGTTATAGTATTATTAGAATTTGTTTTGTTTTATGGTAAAAATATCCACACACAAAATAAAAAGGAACCTTATATACCTATAATTAAGGCTTAAAGAATCATGAAACTTGACATTTGCCAAGTTATTTGACAGGAGTTTATCAAATGTCACGTGGTGATGTATTTTACCATGTTTTGGGTGAGATATTTAGTCTCATGTTGAGCTCTAAATAATAATAATAAAAAATACATGCTTACTTTTAATGTAATGTCAATAGGAAATAATAAAAATACTGGATATATGATTTAACCATGTTGTATGTCACCTTTTTTCATCTGATGAGGTCCTAATTAATTTCATCAATCATATGCATGTCACATAAAATCAAATTTATTATTTCAATTTGACTTTTAACTTATTGTGGTTGACTTTCTCATGTCAGGTAGGTTTACTGTATGATGAGGTTTCACTACAAAATGTTCTAGATATGATTTCTGATTGGACACCAGAAAACATACAGAATTTAAGGAATGAGGTAAAAAATACTGCAATTAAAACTTAATCTTACGGAAAAAAAAATGTATGAAAAATGTAGTTGTTACTCTTCTTTGAATTAGGATTTAACCTATGCAATTTATTTGTTTATTATTTAGGTTCCCATAACTGGTTTAAGAACACAATTACAAGGTAGAATGTTGCTGCACATTGCAGAAGACGTGTTGAAGTGGGCAAAGGTGTCTTAAATTGAATATTTCTTACTATTTTTCTGATTTTACATACAATTTAGAAGTTTAGAACTAGGTTAGGCATCTTTATTATTTTGCAGGATGGCTTGGATAGAAGAGGCTTAAATGAATCCATTTTCTTGAATCCATTGAAGGAAGTAGTTACATCAGGTATCTAAGTATATATTGATTCTATTTACCCTTCGTAAAAGTCTAGGCTCATGTTTGCATATCTTAATGCATAACACCTTAAAATTCATGTTCTAGTATTGGGAATTTGAAAATATGGTACTCAGGAATTTAATTTGGCTATAGAGATTGACAAAGCTTCTCATGTAGTGTCTATGAATTGCTCACATGAGAATAGGCTTATGTCAAAGATTCAATTGTGATTTTTAGCCATGATGTGGGGTTTTTCATCTTAACTAGCAAATATCTTATTATGAAATGAGATGATGTTCTTGCAAATATCTTATTTTTCAAACATTTGACATTGACATGAGACTATTTATGGACAGGTTTGACCCAAGCCGATAAGCTATTAAACTTGTATAATAAAAAGTGGAGAAATAACATAGATGTTGTGTACAAAGAGCGTTGCTATTAAGCTCATTCATATTCTCCTATTCTTTATGAAGAAGAGGAATGGAATGCAGACGAAAAATAAGACCAAGATGCAAATGATGATTTGGGTGCAATGTTTATAGTTTAGAGAGCTAGTAGTTCAATATATGTTTGTTAATTTATCAGTTATGGTCCTAAAGTATGAATACAGCCATACTATGTAAGAATAAATCTTAAACGATGAATATCATTGGTTTACTTCACAAATTAAGAAATGTGACGAAAATCATGTCATACATTTTAAGATTTTTTCTTTTTTGGTACATGTAGATAAGAAAGAAAGAAAATTAAGTTAAAATTTGAAAATTAAAAATTCAAAAATATTAAAGTTATTGTTTATTTTTTACAATGATCAAAAAAGTGAGATAGTAAAAGATTTAAAGAAAATGGTATTAAACAACTGTCACTATTACATATTATTATTATAAGTTATGTTTTAAAATATTTATTTATTTATTATAATTTTTAAGATTTTATATGTGAGGGCAAAAGTTATCAAATTTTTGAATAACTATAAAACTCTCACGATTCTAATAAACGAAAACAAATTAACTCTAATAAAATTTATATGTTTAAAAATATATATTTATACAAATTTTATATATAATTTAAATATTCAAATATAATATTTATTTTCCATATATAAATTATTATAAATCAATCTCAATATTTTGTATGTTTTGTTGTAATATAAATTATTTATTATAAATTTAAAATATAATTTATATATTTAAACATTAAATATACGAATGATTTTGGTTCAAAAATATTATTAGAATACACTATTTATTTAATTTTATTTTAATAACACTATCAAATAAATTCATTTTAATAGTATTATTAAATAACATTATTATCAAAATATTTTTAAAATATTATTTATTAATATTTTAAATTAAAAAATTAAATAATATTTTCAAGTTACTTAAGTAGTGATATATTAATAGTCAACTAATAAGTTTAATGGTTAATAGATGTTAAATTATAAATGTTAGAACTAAAATTGTGAATTTTTAAATGTCATAAATGCAATTTAGTCATAATAGAAAAACTTAAGCACTATGTGTGTCCAAGTTAAGCATTATATAATCATGATTCATGAATCACAAGCGAGTGTTATTCCACTCTTTTGACTCTTAAAATGCTGCACTTGATACCCAGAACACTAATAAGCACTTCCTTAACCAAAATACCATGAGCAATGCATAGGTAAAGTGTTAAAACCAAAAATTTGTTTATCAGCAAACTAGTCACACACATTAAAACTATTTATGGTACAAAATCATAAGCGCATATAAAATGGACATTCTCTTAGCAATCATCCCAATCTTTATCCATATATTTATTAATCATGTTTTCGTCACACAAAAATCTTGTTCCATAACTAACCTCAATATGTTTATTTGTGATTAATATGACCTATTATGTAATTATCGCCAATGTAGTTAACTCCTTAAAACATCCCATCATATCACCCTGCATTTGCAAGCTTCAACCATTGTTGTATTAACCATCAATATATAATGCATTTACCTCAAAAATATGTATTATAGGACTTTTTTTTTCTTTCTAAGTGATCTATTATTTTTTATGTGATGGTTATATATCAAATTTACTACATAATACACATGAAATTATTTTTTATTTTTACTTGAGATATACTCTTTGATATTGACACCCCTTGAACTAAAATCTTAGTTTTACCCTTAGCTGGAAAAATTAAAAAAGATAAATTGGAGCTATTGCTCTCATCTTTAAACAAACATGCTTGCTTATTTGAGGGGGAAAAAAGTAATTTTATACATGTTGTGATATATAGTTGTACGTAAACATTTTTTTTTATTGATATTAGTAGTTTTTCCAAACCATTTGGTTATGACTAATAATCGGATTTATAATGTGTATGAATTCGCTCGTGATGCAATTAGGTGTGATTTGACTAGCTTATACATATTAAACATAAACAAAAAGAGAATGTAGTCTAGGTTCACATCAAATACCTTATATGGAACATAATATCATTTAGATTATTACCTTATAATTGAACTCATGGTATTAATCAAATCAAGCCACACATTTGCAGAAATTACAAAATCTAAAATTTTTTGTTTTATGTCTTTGAGTTGCAGGCTGGTTGTTATTTATGGTTAATCTTAATGTCTTTTTGCTCCAAATCGATGGTAACTTTTAGTGCATCCATAGAGGAAGGAAGCAATTTGCTTGTTGTCCATAATGGTGATAAAAATCTTAGCAACATTGTTTATTTATAAGATGTAAAAGAAAACTAAGAGAATAATTAAAATTATCAATTTGAGTAAAAAAGGAAGTTAGTCAAATCGTTTTAATGCATAAATGAGTCATCCATTTGTTTAATGATGTTGTGAAATCAATTACATAATAAGAGTTTGCTTCATAAATGTGAGTGTGAGCTTGGGACCAAACTTGAGATAGTTTCGCGGAGGAAATTTTGAAACATTCAACCTAGAAGAGATAAGAGAAGTCTTTTTTTTTTTACATGAGAAAGATGTGTGATGCTTCTACAAATTGAAAAGACATGCATCCTTAGATGTACATAATGTTGAAGATAAAAATTGTTATTATTATCTTTGAAAAAAGACTTATTTTGATGTTGACAAGGATTTTATGTCAAAACATCTTAGATATTATCTATTTTTTCAATACACATTAAATAATACTTATCATTTTATTATACATGGGGCACTACTTTTAGCACATACACTATCTTATCTTTTAGTATACATTATTTCTCATTTTATTACATGTTACCTATCATTTTTGTACATCACATTATTTAACATTTAAAATACACTTTGAAACTAATGTGAAGACATTAATACTTTTGAAGACTTTTTATTTATAATTTAACTCGATTTAAGGACTAAAATAAAAACACATTGAAAGTTTGGCAAATTTTATTATGATTACTTTATCAATACATAATGCATTAATAATTGACACTCATTAACTAATAAGAAAAATGACAATATTCTTTGAGAATTTTTTTTATAGTTTACTTCAATTCAAGAATTAAAGTGAAATCGCGATTAAATACACGTTATCTATCATTTTATTACTCATTACACGTGATATATTATTTATCATTTTAGTACACGTTAACCATTACTTATCACATTATTTAACATTTGAGATACACTTTAGTATTTATTGACGTTATCAACCAACACTCATTATGAAATTAATGACAATAACACTTTTAAAGATTTTTTTTTAATTTAACTTAATTTAAGAACTAAAATAAAAACATATTGAAACTTTGACAAATTAATTATGATCATATTAAAGCATTATCAATCGACACTTATTAACTAATGAGAAAAATGACAATATTAATTGAGTATTTTTTTTATAATTTATCTTGATTTAAGAAATAAAGTGAAATCACGTTAAAATTACACAAATTTAATCATGATCTCATTTTAATCTCGAGTCAGATTATAATTTATCTCGTTTTAAGAAATAAAGTGAAATTACGTTGAAATTACACCTACTTAACCATGATCTCATTTTAACCTTGGGTCAGGTTATAATTTATCTTAATTTAAGTGTGTGTTTACTTTCACTCTCTATCAACTTAGACATAATTTGGAGAAGCAACTATTAATTATTTTTGATGCGTTATGACATGAAAATGTTAAAAAACGTGAATCACAAACGTAATACCAAACAAGTACTAAACTGGGTTGAAATCACACAAACTTAACCATGGTCTCATTTTAACCTTGGGTTGGGTTGGGTAAAAGGAGTGACATCAGTTATATACATTGCGTGCATGAATGTAACCACCTTGTCGTGGAGTTTGAAGCGAGGCAGTGATCATAATGGGGAATCGACGTTTCACTCAGGTTGCGACGAGCGACGATGAAGACGAAGCAGTTCAACCGCATCAACAACGCACGTGGAAGAGGATGAGGCTTATGGAGGAAGATAAATTAGATAACGATAACGAGAATGAGGAAGAAGTGGGTCAGGAACCGCCTCAGCTTGTGGAGGACGCTAAGCCCATTGACGAGCCCATTAGGTTTTCAGGAAAAGGAAGAGGCAGGAAGAAGCACTATGAATCCTTTGAATTCGACGGCATCCAATACAGTCTCGTAAGTTCGTTTTTCTGCTCAATTCTATAGGGATTTTAAGTGAACAAAATCGTTCCCAAATTGGTTTTGTTTGTGCAGGAGGACCCTGTTCTTCTCGTCCCCGAGGAAAAAGGCCAAAAACCATACGTCGCCATTATTAAGGTGCACTTATCTATTTCCCTTGTCAATTGCTGTTGATTCATGCATGAAACATGATATATAATTATTATTTTTCCCCTGTAAATACTTTTTTTGTGGCTGCATTCATGTTTTGAAGTGCTTTCTATCCAATTTTTCCAGGGACTTGTTTTGTTGACTTTGTTCTGCTCTCAGGACATTACGCAGGGTAACAATGGCAACGTGATAGTGACGGGGCAGTGGTTTTATCGCCCTGAAGAGGCTGAGAAAAAAAGTGGTGGAAACTGGAAATCGTGTGATACGAGGGAGCTGTTTTATAGCTTCCACCGTGACAATGTTCCTGCGGAAGCTGTTATGCATAAGTGTGTGGTACATTTTGTTCCCTTGCACAAACAACTTCCAAAACGTAAGGATCATCCGGGGTTCATTGTACAGAAGGTGTATGACACTGTGGAAAGAAAACTCTGGAGGCTGAGTGATAAGGACTATGAGGATATTAAACAGAGTGAGATTGATGAGCTTGTTCAGAAGACTCTGAAACGGATTGGCGAACTACTTGACATTGAGCCTGAGGAGGCCCCTATTGATGATGAGGACCAACTGAAAGTTAGGAAACGCTTAAGGAGAAAGCGTGTTTTATCTCTTGATGTTTCAAGGGAGGAGGAAGAAATTCTTGGAAGTGGACTGCATTCTAAGTCTGAAACACCAGCGAGTTGTGTACCTAATGCCTCTGAGTATTATCGCATATTGGTAGAATTCAATGCACTAACTGGAGATAGCCATCGTGACAAATGGTTGGAGAGGTTGCTTCAACGCATGCAGTACATGTGTGATTCTAATAATAGAAAAGAAAAGGACAATGGATTAGGAAATGACTGTCAAGACAAGGGTCAGAAGGTATGGCTAATCTGTTTTATTAGGCCATTAGCTACTAATCATTTTCTCTTTTTGTTTTCACTGATTCCCTTTTCCTTGATGAGTATATGAATTTGGTGTCTCTCTCATCCCCCTCCTCCTACAGAGTTTCGAGTCTTTTGTCTGGCCAGATGCTGTTGTTTCAGCCGTAGTTGCCCTTGAAAAAGCTTCTTATAATGCTCTGTCATCAGATTCTACGAAGTACAACCAAAAGTTGCGGCAACTAGCTTTTAATCTCCAGGTCAGAAGCTGGCTTCTGCATATATAATATGCTTGAGATATTTTTAACTATTGCATTTGAGTCATAAAAAGGACTAAGGGCCAATATGGGGGTGGTTTTTAGTTGTAAGCTTAAAAAATTTAAACAACTACAACCGGTTTTCAATTTTTAATTTTATTTTTTATTTTATAATTTTTAGTTTCAAGAAAACATACAACCAATTTTTTTAAAAATTAGTTTATATTATGGTGGTGTGAATGTGGAGTTGTTGGTGGTCATAGTAGTAGTGGCAGTAATGACAACAATGCTTATGATGGGAGAAGATGATGGTGGAACGACCATTGTCAAATATCTTGAGTGTATTTTATTTTTAAAATTAAAAAACAGATTCACAAATTCTTTTTACTTGATTTTGATATGAGTGCAAAAATATTTTGAAATTGAGATAAAAATTATTTCAAATCTATTTTAACCAAACACGATTTGTTTTGAAAATTGCATTGGAAAACTAAAAATAAAAAACAATGTTGTTGCTAAATTATGAGATGGAATTGCTGACTTGTTGAATCACATTGAATTATGAGATTCTGACTATGGTTTTGAGTCTTTTGACATGTGTTGCATGGGAGATTTTAAGGTTTTATTGTTATTACAAATGTCTTTTGAGAAGTACAGGAAATAATTTGATTGCTATTGCAAAAACGTCACCTCAGTTTTCTCCTATAGAAAATATCCCAATAGTTTATTTGTGGGAATTGTGATTGTGAATTGAGCATAACGCCATAATTATCAAATAGAATCCTCTATCTTTCCATCTAGTTTGGGACTACAGAACTTGTTTCTTGGCTTCTATGTGAGTGCCAATCCATGGTTTTTTAGGGTTGTTCTCTTTCATGGATCTCACGAGAGATGTGAGCACCTTTGAAATGGTGTCTTTGCTGCTTTATCTGCTGTTTATTTATTTATCTTTCAAACTCCAGAGGGCTTTCTTTTCCCTCCTTTGTACTTCTGTTCTCTCCCATTTAATTATTTTTTTTCAGCTGAAAAGATAATGTAGTAGTTTACTGTTTGAAATATGTAAGGAAACCGGAATATTCTGTATTGACTAACCAGTAATATTCTATTTCTATCCCCATCTGGAAACTTACAAACTTGTTCCATTTTCTCTATTTGAAAAGAGATGCCTTAATAATTATCAAAATTAATATTGTAATTTGCCTTAATTTGAAAGGTATCTTTGGCAAGCAAAGGTTTCTGCAATCCATGCTTTTTATATATGCTATAAATATATATAGATTGGTTATTGATTATCCATTTTCCATCCAGATGTATTCGCTTTATATGCTGTGTTTTCTTTGTAATATCTAATGATGCTTAGCTAATTTTGAAAGAAAAGGAGTGTTTGCCTATTTTCTTTTTACAGCTTCATGTTCGCTTTCATTTGTCCATCCTATATAATTTTAACTTGTATTCCTTTATATTTGTGCAGGCACGGAGTAGCACATGGGAGCCAAAATTTGAATTCAAATTTCAAATTTGAATTCAAGCCTCATAAATAAACAGCAGATAAACCAGCAAAGACACCATTTCAAAGGTGCTCACATCTCTCGTGAGATCCATGAAGAGAACCACCCTAAAAAACCATGGATTGGCACTCACATAGAAGCCAAGAAACAAGTTTTGTAGTCCTAAACTAAATGGAAAGGTCGAAGTTTCTATTTGATAATTATGGGGTTATGCTCAATTCAAAATCACAAATCCCACAAATAAACTATTGGGATCTTTTATATAGGAGAAAATTGAGGTGACGTTTTTGCAATAGCAATCAAATTATTTCCTGCACTTCTCAAAAGACATTTGTAATAACAAAAAAAACAATAAAACCTTAAAATCTCACATGCAACACATGTCAAAAGACTCAAAACCTTAGTCAGAATCTCATAATTCAATGTGATTCAACAAGTCAGCAATTCAGATCATGACATTCATGGGATGTGGCTTTAAGTCATGTAATGCATGGATGAATCAGTAAGCAATCTGCTACTTTTACCTTTTCTTTTCTTTTCTTTCACTAATTTTCATAAAAAAAAAATTGAAAAAATCCTACGAAATCCTAAACCAATACACCCCCCTTAAACTTGTATTTATCTTTGTTCTTATCATCTATTCAAGTTATTGCCTGATTAAGAGGTTACAGGTCTGAAACAAATGTATTGTATTTTTATTCAAATTAAAGAAATGATAAATTGGAAGGTTGGATGACCATGCAACACACCAAGCAATTTATAGATGTATATATAACACAGTGTATATCTATGTACAATTCTCCTCTTACGATTGGAATAAAAGGGAAAAAATCAATTAGATGCGACAATAATTATATATTCCATTACTTACCCGTATTTTCATCATCACCACAACCAAAGCTTGAGATATTTTTGGCTTGAAAAATCCATGTGAATATGTATTTATAGAATTTGGACTTAGAATATAACTCAATCTCATAAAACTAATTTGTATGTTGATGATTGTCCAAACTTTATAAGCATTACTTTAGTCTTTTCTTAAATCGATGTGCGATCTCAACCCCCTAAGAGTTGATGTCCTGATGGCTGCACAGTACAACACTTCACCTAGCCTTCCTGATTAATCCCTTCGTACTAGGTAGCCATTTCCTAGACATTAGCAACTAACTCTAATAGGTCGCAATTAAAGCAGGTTATGATTGGCCACACTTAAGGCAACTTCCCAACACACACTCTCATGCCCAAGGCTATGGGCTTGAAGTGTGGCAATGTAAGTGATATAAGCATAACAACTAATCTAAGACAGACTCTGATTTATCTTGAAGTTTGAGCTTGTGGCCTAACTAAATTTCACAAAATCGACTTGTACAATAAGGATTGTCTAGACTTTGTAAAAACCACTTAGATCTTATTTCCAATCAATTTGGGATCTCAATCTCGTAAGAGCCAATGTCTCAATGGTTGCACACTACTATGCTTCACTCGTCTATTTTGTTCAACCCCTTTGTAGATAGTCATTCCAAGACATTTACAACCAACTCTGATAGGTCGCAATTAAGGAAATCTAGAAATGATTGCAATTAAGGTGACTTTCTAACGCACTCCTTCACTCCAAGGGCTATGGGTTTGGAGCCCAGCAATGCAAGTAGGCAAATAATGGTTGATACCATATTAGTAGTTGGGTTTAGAGCCTAATTTAGCCCCACAAGATTGGTATGGATTGTCCAAATTTTAAAAATACTACTTAGGTCTTATCTCTAGTTGTTGTGGTGGCAGTTGCACCCTATATTGCATCACTTAGCCTTTGTGGTTAGCTTTTTTTAGGTAGTCCTTTCTAAGGCTGCAATTTATGCGGGTTAGGGGTGACACAATTAAAGTGGCTTTCCAACTCTATGTATATGTTTCTCTCTTGCAATGATAATGAATTGACTATATTGTTCTTTTTTTGTCCTTTGCAGAAAAATGCAGTGTTAGCACGCCATCTATTAAATGGAGAGTTGGAACCTTCAAAAATATTAAATATGACACCCAATGAGTTAAAGGTATGATATCTGCTAGCTTTAATCTTTTACAAAAGGTTCAATTGAACTATTAAGTTGTCTGCTTGTGATGAAATGATGAACTTGTTTCCTAGATTTTCTGCTATTTTCTTATTTCAGCCTGGAAGCATCTATTCTTCTTTCCCCACCAGTCGATTACTATCGGCTTAACCTTCTAAAATAGTTTCCCGCATATTGTGCTCATTTGACTTATATATTTATCCTAATAAAAGAAAAGAACATAATTCTTGAAATTTGGGCTATAACATTAGTGTAGTGTATTCTTAAAATTTGTACTTAAGGATAACTTAACCCCACAAAACCAACTTGTATTGCGATAATTATCTAAGCTTTATAAGCACAACTTAGGCCTCTTATTTACTTTGAGTGATCTCAACCCCCTTAAGAGTCAATGTCTGTGCAGCTGCACACTATGATGGTTCACTCAGCCTTTTTGCTCAGCCGCTACACAGGTAGTCTCTGAGACTTTGGCAACCAACTGTAGTAAGCCACAATTAAGGTAGGATAGGAGTGATTGCAATTAAGGCAACTTTTCCACACCCTCACACCTAAGACTATGTGGCCTATGGGCTTGGAGCGTGCCAATGTAAGCGAACCAATTAACTTAATTTTACAAAATTGACTTGTATTGTGATAATTGTCCAAACTTTATAAGCACTACTTAAGTTTTACCTCTATCGATGTGGGAATCTCAATTCGGTGAGAGCCGATGTCCTGACAACTGCATACTACGGCACTTCACTTAACGTTTTTGGTCACCCCCTTTGTAGGTAGTCTTTCCGAGATATTGACTACTAATTCTGATAGACCACAACTAAGGTGAGCTACGAATGATTGCAATTAAAGTGACTTTCCAACATGTTGTATAATTTATTGTAGATGAACATTCAGCCCTTGTGACCACTCGTATAAGAGCTTTAGTTCTCATTTTAGTGCTTGTGTTGTTTGGAATTGCTTTGTAGGAATTGAGTCTACTTACTAAAGGCATAGGTTTGATAAATTTATCATATAAAATTTCTGAGAATTTTCTTCTAAAAATAGCTCATGCTTTTCAAGGGTACTCTAAAATAATGTATGATGTTTAGAAAAGCAATTTGCACACGTCTTTTATTGAAACAGCAAAAAAATGCATCGACACACCATAAAGCAACTATGAATTAGAGTACTGGTAACTTTTGTCATCAATTTCTATAAGCTAGTCCGTAAAAGATTAAACTGCTTGTTGATGCATAGTTTCTTATGGTCTTCAGGAGGGTTTGGTTGCTGAGGAAAAAACCAAGGAACGTGATGAGACCCAGCACTTGCAAGTAAATATCCCTCCCTTCAGTTTTATTATCTCATATGTTATGTTGTGTGAAGATATATGCTGACTTTAGCTTTGCTTCCCCTGAAACAGATGATAGATGCTCGCTGCTCAAAATGCATGGATTGTAAGATGGGTTTGAAAGATATTATCCAAGCTGGAAATAATGAACGTTATCAGGTATGCGCAATTTTGACTTTATTAGTCCAGAGTTCCAATATTATGTATTGCTCCTGCACTTTTATGGCTTGGTTTGATTGCTTGCTACTTTGTTGTCGTTACAGCTTGAATGTGTTTCCTGTGGCCATACCTGGTATGCCTCCCGGGATGAGGTGTCTATGTCGACCTTAGATGCATCAAATTCAAAGGGAAACACAGGTCCAACGCCATAGGCCTCTGTAAAATTTAAAGATGTTCAGATGAAGCTGGTGAGCCCCGTGAATCCGAAAAGTCAGCCAATGGCATCTTTTGAATCCAGTAAAGATGGTGACATCTGTCCCGTGTAGTGTTTAGTCATAGCAAAAGATTGTTTAGTTATGTATAGAATAGATACCGTTCCAGTTTTCTTTCTGGTTGGTTCTGCACATAGCATACATCAAGCGGTTGGTTTCGCGTTATAATTCCCATACACTGATGTTACATCATTAGGGTGGTTAGTTATAGCAGTAAATTTCTGAGTTTGACTTTGATTATTTGTGTGGGGAAATATATATTTTTAGTATACACATTGTTGTGTCTAATTTTACTGTTATAACTAATTATTCTATAAATCACTATTTTTTATTTTTTCTTTTATTCTATTTTTTACTATGAACCATTCACTCTCTTCAATTAATCATTTACATCACTTTTTTTATAATTATTTTTTATTAAAAAAAAAAACAGAGAGGTCCATGCCTTTTTTTTCAATCATTAAATAAGAAAAGTAAAAAATAATAATAAAACTCATACCATTTTTATATATTCTTTGTTCTATTTTCATACCAAAGTCAAAAAAAAAAAAAAATGCTAGTCAATAGAAATTTAATCGAGTAAAACATTTAATGGTTCTTGAAATATCAAGTTTTAGTCAATCTAGTCTTTAATTGCAAAAAGTAAATGTTATTTTACACATTGAATTATTAAATATAGGTTCCTTTAATTCTAATGTTATAGAACTGTTAAGAGATACTTTTAACGCTAATGCTCTCTACTCAAATCTGTCTATTTGTGAGCTCTTTATACAACACTGCTTACTCATATTATTTGCGAGTTGTATTTGGCCTTTTGGCCATAATAAATAAATAAATAATTACTGAAATAAATTAAATAAAATTTATTTATTAAAATAAATTATTTTGACCACATAGAATGATAAAAATAAAAAAAAAAGTCATCTTATATGCCGTTTTATATGGAGAGAGAAAGAAAGAAAAATATCATTTCATTTTACATCCTCTTCATGGAAAAAAAAAATAACAAAAAAAGTTATAGTATTTGACGTTTTCTGCATGACATTTTACATGACAAAATAAAAAAACTTCAAAAGTGACATTTTTATGCTTATTTTACCATGCTAAATGTTATACAGAAAACGTCAAATGCAATGTCATTTTTTTTTATGTGTTTTTGTTTTCTTTATCTTCATGTATAAAGGTGACATTTTCTTTATCTTCATCATTTTATGTGGTCAAATTAATTTATTTTGATAAATAATTTTTTATTTAATTTATTTTATTAAATTTTTTTATTTTATTATTTATTATGGCCAAAAGGCTGTTGTATTTGGGTTGCCTTAATATTGAGCAGTTGGACTGTGCCGATATGCACAAAAACAAAGGAAAGGAAAAACAAATAAAAAATAAAAAAAATTACGTTGCTTTATTGAGGTTTCTTTGTAACAAGGGAATGTGAATATTCTTTTATATAGTGTTTACAGTTTTAAGATAGCCAACAATGCTTAGTTTTGAGTGTTTGATTTTGACTGTTCATATGTGTGTACCGCTGAAATGCTATTGATTAGCATTATTTGCTCATGTGTCTTTAGGTATTTTCAATTAGTAATTTTTTAAAATAAATATTGCTTTAATTTTAAGAAGTAAAATGATCATCTATTAATAATAGGGATTAAAATAAGTATTGTTAAATAACTTGAAGGACTACTTTTTTTTTTCAATTTTGGGGATTAAAAATTGATGGACTGTATTTTTAGGAACTTAGTTGATGTAATATTTGAGTTTAATATAAATTATAAAATAAGAATAATGTATTAATGATCAATGCGATTCAATTGAAAGTAGCTTTCAACTGGATATATACCTTTCACTCAATGGTTAACAGAAACAGAAGTACTGCCACTGACTTGGGATCACATTATAGTGACAAAGACTCATCAATGGTAGCACAGATGCTAGTTTCTTCTAATTTATGTTCCAAATTAGAAGGTGGAGTGTTTGCCAACTCTATTGTGACAACATTTACGTTGCATGATCTTACACAAGAAAAAGTGTTTCACCCCATAAAAAAGTCTAACAGCGAGCAAGATTGTTCTAAAACTCTAAATTCTTCCCATGTAGGAATGAAGGGAGAGATTTTCAGGCCAGATGAAGAGTCTTGGCAACTAAAAACAAGCTTCGATCAGGCAATGCATATTTTGGTAATTCAAATTCTTATCCTTTTTCATCCACAGCATTGCATTCAAACCCTGAAACTGTTGCCATTGTTTTACAAATTCCATTTCAAAGATAGAGCTTGAAATACAAAAGAAGGGGTAGAATAAATGCTGAAGCATATCCCAAACTAAGTGAACTCTCTTCAGCAGTAGAATAGGTGAAGGTGGTACTACCAACTAGCAACCATGATTTTCCAAGTGTTGAGAGTCAGGGTCCCTCATCAATACTAGATAGATGGAAACATGGTGGAGGTTGTGATTGTGGTGGCTGGGACATGGCCTGTCCCCTTATTCTTTTAGGCAATCCCAGTGTTCAATTTACTGAAGACCGACCTCTTATAGAGGAATGTCAAACACTATAACTTTTCACTCAGGTAAACCTTGGAGTCCACACAAATGGATGTATATAGGAAAATAATCATACATTAGTTTTCTTTTCATGTACTATTTATTTTGGTGATTTAATCTTCTGAATTTAATCTTTGTATAATGAAGATATATGCATCTACAATAAGATAAAAAGCAAAAAAAGATATTACTGACTCTACATTGCACATTAAACTAATTTCATGAGACATGCATCTCCATAAGATGTCAAATAAATGTTGTGATTCCAATTGGAGCTTTCTGTTTCATCGAGTGCTGCAGTTATAACATTATTCATTATGAGACTTTGATTGTCTTTTTCTAGTACTTATCTCTTATTCTGGATGCAAATGGTGCCAAGGAGAGAACTCCAACCTTTGGCATGACGTTGGTTGAAGAGGGGCGATATGCAGCTGATTTCCATGCACAATTATCCCCATTACAAGATTTATCCATTTGTGTGGCCATTTTACATGGTGTAGGGCAGGAAAAAAAACAACAAATATCCCGATGCAATTCATTGAAAATGCTTCTTGAGGAGGAGGTAGAGTTATTTATCAACTCGATCATGAAAGAAGAGAATAAGACTAAGCCAAAGATTCAGAAGGGAATTACTTTACCCTATGTACTAAACCCACCTTTTTCTCCTATTGCATGAGTATGAAGTGTAGTGTCCATACTTTGTAACACCAAATAGAATAGAATTTTGTCTATATTGTAATGGGATAATCTTAGGGAAAGGGATAAAAGAGATTATAGGAAATGATTTTATTCTGAATTCCAGTCCTTTCTGTATATATAAACATTAAAATATGATACTGGATATCCATTAAAAAGAACCTTATATTTCTTTTCTACACTTTTACATTTTTGGCCATTATTTATCATTCGTGTTTTTCAAAGTTCAGATTTTATAACATTTTTCTTAGAAAAAATAGGAGATATTGATAAAAATAAATGAAGAAATTATATATGCTTATATGTTAGAAGAGAGTCCAAAGACATATGAAGAAGCAACAAAATCAATAGACTCTATCTTTTAGAAAGAAACTATTAAAAGTGAGTTAGATTCCATAACAAGTAATAATACTTGAAAACTAGTAGATTTGCCGGAAGGTTGTAAAATCATAGGTAATAAATAAATTTTTAAAAAGAAAATATAGGCTTTATGGAGTAATAGAAAAATTTAAGGTAAGACTGATTATCAAGGATTTTACTAAGAAAAAAATATATTGATTTTTTTATTCTTATTCACCAACAAAAAATTGTCACTATACATGCTTTAATAGTTTTAGGAGCAATTCATAATTTGGTTATTCATCAAATGGATGTAAGAACTGTTTTTCTAAATGAAGATTTAAAAGAAGAAATATACATGAAGCAACTAGAAGGCTTCATTGTTCTGGGACAAGAACACAAGGTATGTAAACTTAAAAAAAATTTGTATGGTTTAAAGCATGCACCTAAACAATGCTATGAAAAGTTTAATAATATATTGGTGAATTATGGGTTTATAGTAAATACTTCAAACTCTTCTATGCATATAAAAATGGCACATTCTAATTGTGTTATTATATGTTTATATGTGGTTTTTTGGAACTTCGTTAGAAGTGGTTATTGAAATTAAAGAATTTTTAAGTTCAAATTTTGAAATGAAAGACGTAAGAGAAGCTAATGTGATTTTGGGTATTAAAATACGAAAAATCGAAAATGGTTTCTCTTCAAGTCAAACTCACTATGTTGAAAAGCTATTAAGAAAATTTAATAGTTTTAATGTTGCATTTGCGAAAACTTGTATTCATCTTAAGAAAAATGGTGGTACCATTATTTCTCAACTTGAGTATGCTAAAATAATTGGTAGTGTCATGTATATCATGAATTATACTAAACCTAACATTACATATGTTGTAAGTAGATTGAGGATATACGCTCATAATCTAAATACTGATCATTGGAATGCATTTTTGTGCCTTTTAAAGTATCTAAAGGATACTCTAGATTGGAGCTTACATTTCATTAAACTTTTGACTGTTTTAGAAGGATTTTGTGATGCAAATTGGGTTTTAGATAAAGAGACATAAAACAAGGTCTATAATGGGTTTACTTTAAGAGGGTATGTGTTTACTTTAAGAGGTGGTACTATTTCTTAGAAATCAACAAAACAAACTTATATAACAAGGTCTACAATGGAATCAAAATTCATACTACTTGGACTTGTAGGTTAAGAAGTAAAGTGGTTGAGAGGCCTAATGGCTAACATACCACTGTGAGGAAGACCCACCCCTCTTATATCTCTTTATTGTGATTCACAAGCTGCTATTGGTGTGGTTAATAGTGTTTATAATGGTGAGAGAAGATGTTAGACATGCCTTTGTATCTATCTTAGCTGTAATTTTATCCGTTGGGTACTCGTGTAATTTTGTCTGTTGGTTACTCTTTGGTTTAGATATACATATAAACCTTAGAGTGCAACGTGAGTCACACACACACAACTCTAAATACTAAATAAAGAAAAGAGAGAATCTGTTCCCATCCGTGGACGTAGCCCATTGGAATTGGGTGAACCACGTAAAATTCTCCGTGTGTTTTTCTTTCTTCTCTTTTACTATTTCTCTTTACTCTATTTCTGTTTCCTTTTGCCTTGGCTGTGTTTTCTTTTTTTCAACAGATTCACTA